CTGGCCCTCTGTTCCGTCGCCATTTCTGGCGTCGAAGCCACCCTCCTCCCTTTGACCAACGGGTCAAATAGACAATTCGTAGACTCGATGAGAGTCTACTTACGCGCCGCCATTGCGCAATACATGGCCACGGGCCCGGCCATGGGCCCGGCCATCACGCCACCGTCCTCCCTCCTCGCCCGGCGAACCCGACCCCAAGGGCTCCAGAAGCCAGGAGCAATACAACTCCCGCCGTCCCAGTGCTGCCTGTAAAAAGCACCTGGGCCACGGTGGCCAAAAATGGACTGCGACAAAATGCAGCTCCTAAAGCAAAGGCTGTGCCGCGACCTGCGGCGAGAGCCCAAAAGAAAGAAGCTCCCAAGGCGAAAGTCGATAAGCGACTGTTCCTTCGCCTGGAAAAGGAGCACCCATGGCGGAATCTCTCAAACAACATTGTGAAAAGTAAGGTAGCGGACACGCTTAATCTCTCTTACAATGATATAACCTCGATTCATCGAGTAAAGACCGGCTTTGCTATTATAGCAAAGAACGAAAAAATACGACAAGAGATCCTAGATGTCTCTCCGAAGCTGGCAAGTGAAAACGCCAAACTCGAAGCATCTTCGGATCTTGTCGCCTTACAGATACCGAACGTACCTGTAAGTATCGTTTCATAGTACGGCCCCTTAGCGACCGATGCTGCAAGTGTCACCGCTGAGATCTTCCTTACGACCAGCGCGTATCCAATCCAGGTCCGACCTAATGGGACATGTCGGCCTGGATCGCCTTATCGAAACTGGCATGCCCTTTTTCACCGGGACGAAGCCCCTCGTGCGGGCTTCCGCCTTTTCGACGATTCGGGTATGGCTACCATCCATAAGCCTCGTCGATTAATTGAACAGTGCAAACGCTGTTTGGGCTTCCACGCCACTCGTGGTTGCTCCCGCGCTCCGGCTTGCTGGAACTGCGGATCAAATATGCACTCCGAAACAGAGTGCAAGGCCCTCACACGCTGTCGCAACTGTGGGGGACCTCACCGATCGGATTCTCAGGCCTGCCAAGTCAGACCCAAAAAATCTGGACCGATGACAAAAGAGCAGCTCGCATGGATCCGTCACATCCAGAAAGGGGAGTTCTCAAAGGTGGCACGAGCTCGCGCAGCAGCCAAAAGGGCCGAGGAGGCGATGATCGCCGCGGCGAAGGATGTCTCTATGGCCGAGGCAACAGGTTCCGGAGCATTGGGAGCTGAAGAAGAAGTTTGAGGGCACAGCAACCTCGACGATGTCCCTTTTGAGGCATCTACTAACCAATAGCAGGTTACCGGCTGGATTAAAGGTGCCTGCTAACTCATCTCTTGCTCTCAGCGGAGATTGAATAAATTTTGTCATTTGGAAGGTGTGACGGACGAGGGAATGTGTGAGGAGCGCATTTACTTGGTCCAATATGGAGGAATCTTCTGGTATTCGGAGTTGTTTTGATTTTTGTGATTTTTTCGTTCTTGTTCAATCAGCTGCACTTTTGGTAGCGATTCATGAGGTTGGAACGAGTTAGGCTATAGGAAAAGTTACAGGGAACCCTGCTGGATCCGCCGGTCCTTGACCCAATGTGGAAAACATAGCTTTAGCTTAGGACCAAATGTATAAAAAAAAATTAAAAAAAACACACACTCACACAACTGCACTCGAGACCATGTTGGGAACCTTGAAAAAATGGAGAGCATACAAGCCCAAAATACTTTGTTGATTACCAACAACTTTCTCGGTTTGTCAACATCTTTGTAGCCCTCAAATTGTTGGAAATATCGCGCAATGTAATGGGCACAATATTCATGGAATGAAAGTAGGAGTTGACTAAAAGAGTGTCATGTTCGAATTAAAGCTAAAAGTGTGGGAGATGTGCGCTACAAGTACAAGTGTAAGCGACACAGAGCCTAAGCCACAGCATAAACGAGTGTGGCGCCATCTAGGCATAGAAAACCCCCAATAACCTCCTTGCGCCCACGCCATACAGCCGCTCATGTGTCCAACAGGTAGCCTGAAGCGCTACCATATTACCTACTCCAACCTCTTAAATACACACGAGATCGTGTCGGGAACCTAGACGAAATGGAGGGCCCATACGTCCACAACACTCCGTGTCTCCATTTCCAACACAAATTGCCGTCTTTTTTATCACAGAATTGTTCGGAACCCAAACCCTCAAAGTATTATCGGATATTTCTCGGAAATAATGACCCCTCAGTCATTGAGGTTGTACAGCTCATTTTCTAGAGTAATTATAGATGTAAAACTAAGTACTAGTTTGTAGTCACGTTTATGTCAATAACGTGGCCTACGTGATAGTCTAACTTATTTTGACTTCTAAAAGGATAAACAAATAGTTTTTTAATCTTGACAGGTACAAGCCTAGCGACCACAGAGTATGACAAAGAGAAGGCTAGTCTCTCCCCGACGACCATAAGCGATGATAACTCAGTTTGACATTTGGACCATGTTGGAAAATATACTCTGTACGATATTATATGGATAAATATGATGAAGTAAAGAAGACTTAATATTTTACAACTATGGGAACATTGGACTTATATATACATCTAAGGGAGAAATTCCCGCTAGCCTCGTGTGCCTGTCAAACCTAGTGATGACTAGCCACCTCTCATCTACCATGATGAGCCAAGGTACACTGTAGTACGTAAATATCCAAACGTATAGGCGACAGTAGGCGCGATTAGCGTACTCAGGACATTTGTAGAGAGAGTCGATCTTGTCGGGAACCTGAGACGAAACAGGTAATGATTGAGTCCTAAATTCGAGAGTCAGAATTTCCAACAGACCACTCATGTAGTGGGTGCATTCGCCGATACCACTCGAGACCTTGGTGCTAGGGTCTCTCAACCTTCCCTGAACTGTGAATATCCACCAAAGGGAGATAGGAAGACTCTCCGGCTACCCTAACATGCCTTTGCCATCTTGTATGTAGCCGCCGCCCGAGATATGGCCTCACAGTCCTCCCTCTCTCGAGTGAGGTAGGTGTCCAGACTACCCAGACTTTAGTTCGGGGAGATGACGACCAGGAGGCGGACCAAAACAGCTTCTATCGTTGCCTGTTTTAAAGTGCCGGTAGTACTATCCGAAATCGTAGCCTTGGTGCTCACAATACACAAAAGTTGAATACACTCTAAAAGTGTGAAACCCAGCATATCCATTTGTGGCCTCTTCACTCTTTCGTCCCAAGTTCCAGCTGCCTGTCCTTCCTCAAGATGTGGATTCCCGTAGACCAAGACCCTAGCTTTATATATTTCAACTTAGTTTCCTCCTCGCGGGTATACATTGCACTGTAACTTTGAAATGAGAGATGATCGATTTTTGATGAGCCAGATTCTTATTTGCAATTGGTGCGACTTCTCTTTCGATCATTGAGGCGACTTCATTTGCGGTATGAGTGAGTCGAAGGACTTGTGTGAGAAAGATAGGTCCAACAATGATGAGAGATCATCGTTTTTAAATATGTTTTCGACTTCGATTCTAATACGATTCTACTTGGCCATCCCAGATATGCAGAGCATACCGAGCAATTCGATCAGCACCGCTATAAGGCGAAGAACTTGACTTTGCCGGCGTGTAAAATGATAATTGTCATTCAAGAAGTTCAATCCACCTTGAGGACTTAATGTTCTGATTTTAACTAATCCACTTCCCTTCATATTTTCATTCTAGGCTCCAAACACGAATTACTAAAGACGTCGAATTTTTGGTGGTGGGATGGTTGGCAGATCCAGGCACATCCGAGAAAAGTGTACGGCACATTATTGATGCTTCAGGAATGCCGTTTGTTAGCATGAATTACCCATACGAACACAGGACCAATCGCAAGTTGGATAATATCGGTAATTTGTTTTTCTTGGACTATTCTGCAGTAGAGAAATTTATTCAGAATAGGCCTAAAAGAATTTATTGTATAGCTCCATGATGCTGGCATTCATGCAAAGTGAAATAATTACACTGCTGTTCCTGACTAGACCATGGCTTGGAAGCCGTATTTCAACTCAAGATTCTTAGAAGATACTAGCTACAATTATTCAGTCTTTGACTCTACATTATTGTACCCCCTGGTACCGACGCGAAGCTGGCTCCACTCGTTCATATTAGGTCCTGGTAACAGCCTAACGGTGATCTCCATAATTAAAGCTGAAAATGGATAGACCCTTATTCCAACATGTGGACCCCACTGCAAAGTGTTTAGATCCTAGCTCCTGATGATTGACTCGCCGTGTCTCCCGCACGCGGCGGTGATTAACGTTATCCGCACGGTATATGTCATGCCTCCATTTCGTTAGCAATAGAGGCAATTTTTAGAATAAAATGCAGGGGGAGGACAGAGAGGTATCGGGATTTTTACATGCATTCAGGCATGTCTACCCGGAGAATGTTCATTTTCACAGGCGTTGGGGAACGTGGTGGGCACTAATCGACATCCCGGAGGGATAGATAATACTAGCTAGGCGCTCATACAGGCTTTAACTTGACCGTGAACTATCAAAATCAAAGCCAATTACGTTCATTAAAACCTGTGGTATTGACTGACACTGACCCAATGAAGAATGCTAGTTTACTAGAACATCTCTGGGTAGAATGTAATCTACCCTTCGATAGCTGCAGGTTCAACTATCGCAATGGGTAATATCCCAACTCTATTACATTACATAATGCTCTTACGTCATTAAATTTCCAACTCTTGCCCAATCTCCTTGCTAGCAGCTCAATTACGGAACCACGAAATATTTTTTAATGACAAAAGTATCTTTGTGTCAGATTACAGCTAGGCTACTTATTGCAACTGCCCATAATACCCAATCTAATTGATCCCTGCTGGTGGCTGATTCGTGTATCTTGTCAGGCTTAGGCGCCGAGGTACTGCCCCCTAACCCTGATTCTAATAGTCCAGATGTTGTAGCGATAGAAGCTTCTGAGCCTGAACACTGGATCAGTGGGGTTCCCTGTAGTGTTTTCGGAGATAATTAATCAGAATTTAAGATTATTTATCCTACCTGAGGATGTTGAGGTAGGTGATGGTGTTCCTACTTTTGCAATTGCGAGTCCTGAGTTTAAGTGAGCTCTCCAATATTAGTGCCAAAAATTAGTTACGACTTACCAATTCTTTTATTATCGATATCAAATACAGTGTAGTAACTTTTCAAAAAAAAGTCTCCAAGTATCCATCCTCCGTTGTTGAGGTCTGTGCCGCAAATATTCGATTGACACATACCACTTTCAACTGTATCACCAACCCAAATTGATGAAGGAATGGAATATGTTTCCGAGCCAAATTGGAAATTCATATCCATTAAGGTATCGCAGGGAACCTGCCATGCAAACCCACCATCTGTTGTGATAGATCCAGGTACAAGGGAGTGCAACTTTGTGATATCTTGCAAAGGCGCAAGGATGTATGAAGTCCCAGTATCAAGGAGCGCATTGCGAGATATAGGGATTTGAGAATTTCCGAAACCAGCAGAACTTAATTCTATTTCCCAGCCCCTGTTATCAGTTGCAAGGGGATAGTACTTCAAATCTCCCCAATACCTGTTATGATCAGGTGCCCCAAAGTTAATTACTCCGGTATTTTTCCCCTCTTTAGTTTGACTCAAGCTTACACCAAACATATTATTTTTAAGAGATTTTGATGCTACAAGAGCGTCGAGGAAGCTTGGAGCTCGAGATTTCGTTAGCGAAAGACCAAGTATGCCGTACATTTCAAAATCTCCAAAATCCTCAGACACATTATCTGCTACCCCGAATGGCATGGTAAGAGATAATCCGGCAAGTGAGACTTTGTCCTGAGCTACATTACCTGAGCATGCACCACTACCATAGTTAATAGAGAATGTCGCATCAAGATCTTGATATGTAGAAGAATTCTGAGGCCCAAATGTATTACGGCTAGTACAGATGTGGCTAGAGCAATTACTACCCTGTAAATAGATTAGATTAGAATGGGACATGTGAGACTAATATAATATACCATAACCCATGTCATAGAAGCACCAGTATCAAGAAGCATATACATCTTTGATGAAGCGGAGCCGAAAGAAACTTCAACGAAGTAACTGAAGTCGTTGCCGTCCTGAAAGATCCCGGCGCTGAAGGGTTGAGTGGGCAGCTCTGGTGGAATAATATCACGCTTTAATTTGTTCAAATTTTTAGATTTACGAAACTCTTGAAGAGCTCCTAGTAATCTATGGTTTGAATCATGTCTTGTCCTGTCGGCTTGGCGCTCAAAAACAAAATTATTGGACTTCTTGCCCTGTAAGATATTTAGCGAAGTTCTAGATTGAGTGTAGTTTTTTTCAACCTTTCGGCCTTGGTCATTCCTGTTTTCTGATCCATGTTCGATATACTGGACTACCTCTGAAATATGATTGGAGCCCGAACAGAATTTGTTCCTTGTACATGATAGTTCTGGCAGTCCTAGATATAATGACGTACAAATAGTTAAAGATGATGAAAATAACAAAATTAGATTGTTGAGCCGCATTTTGATAGGTTTGCTGTCCAGGTAGTATCGATATTAAGTATTCAAGTGGATCTGAATTGGGTCTGTGTCAAAAGATAAATGCTAGAATTAAAGTAACTTAAAGCTACTCTGCAGCAAATTGCGTTGATCAGGATTATAAAAATTTCGCAGTTTGTGACTAAATCTCAACGATGGTTTGAGATAAAGCTTCCAATCACTCAGGTATAGTAAAGACAGGAAGGGTCAGATAAAATATAGACTGGGAAAGTCTCGTCCGCAATATAGAGATTCGTGATGAGGAATAAATAGTTAAATCAGGCTAGTAGGAACCTCGTCCTTGTATCGGATTCTTGACCGAGTCATGTAAATTTATGAGGTTAATGCGAGTTATTCGAAAAAATCAAGAAACGTATAAAATATTGAAGCGTTAATATCAAAGCAGAATGAACTATCTTAATTTCTGATGTTATCCACTCAAAGTAGAAAAAGATGAGGTGAGAAAAGAAACTTGATAGAGATGGCGTAATTCAGAGATAGGATAGTAAATTTTAAACTTGATACGATCCCATATTAAAGAAGAGAGAAAGTTGTATAGATTTTTTATCTTTTTCTGTCCCTTCGTAAAAACCAAACACTCTTGTCTACTTATTCGGCAGACTATGATTAATAATTCCTCACACTCTTAATTCCGCTTTCTTGCACAAACATTTCTTTCTGTTTTCTGTAATTCCAAGGTGAGAAAACAGCTGCACTACAGTCTGTGTTGAAAGATTTGTCAAGTAGCGTTGAGAAAACAAAATAGGTGATAAGTTTGCACGCAGACGTAAGTCTGTATCGTTGTTTATATTGACAGTGAATTGGATCTTGAGTTGAAGCCAATGTCAAGATCGACAATGTAATGGCGTGACTAGATAAGGAGAAGAATTCTCTATCCGCTTTTCAACGATTTATTGTCTGTTGGATTAAGCTGCAGCTTATCCCTCATAGGCTAAAGGGGTAAATGTGGAAAAGAGATGGCCTCCATAGGCCTCATACACCCAACAAGCCGTCGACACATGCTTGGATAGAGAACATCTGTCATGCCAGGCAATGCGAGTTAGTAAGAACCTGTCGTACATATTACAGGTTTCGTTCAACCGTGGTCTGATCACTTGGTCATAGGACGCTACAAACATCTTTAGCCTCGGAGCAATGTTCTTGATTACACTTCAGGGTTGTTTAAACCGGAAGCTCAGAAGTATTGGAGACTTAAAGAAACTAGCCATGCATGCACTGTGTCTGAGCCAACCGTTCTACTTTAAGTTAGGGGAAAGTTAGCCCCTTTGTCCAGTAATATGTTGAGGGAAACATTAGTTACAATACGTCTTGCAACGAAGATAATGCTCATTTGTGGAGTGCTGGTGGTCACATGATATATATGCAAAGGGTGCTTGTTTAGACATGGTCTCGACCTCGATCGTACGCACAATGGTAACAGCAGTCCATTGGTTCCAGGCAAAACCCTAAATATTAGTTGCGTAGTGGTAGGCCTCCTTAATTGGGGTTATGTATTTTTTTTTAGCAAATATTATTTTTAATCTTTGTGAATTAGCAGCGAGGGCTCCTTTTGTGCCGGGATATCTCAGCGCGGTGTAGGAGGGAAAGTGGCGGCAGATGAGCTGAATGTGTATCTTTGCATGAGACCGAACTGTTGATCGATGACGAGGTTTCGAATTTGAAGATTCTCTTCAAACGCGATGAAAAGACATAATCGGATTTACCTTGCATCCGTACGGTCAGACATGCTGATCACTAAGTTTATGAGATCCATATGCAGGAAAATACTTACCAGTTACCTTCTACATCTGCGAAATCTTTTCTCCGGTAGTGCCGAGGATAGCTGAACAGTTGTAAGCCAAAACTTCAATGGAACCTGGTAGGCCATGACGTCTGAGTGTAAAAAGAAATTGCGGAGCCCAATTCTTCTTCCCTTATCCCTGTATACCAACCATGTTTCCAAGAGATGCATCCCACTCTTATTTGTAGTTACATTATTTTGGCCCGACATCAAGACTTCCACACGTAGGAAAGTTCAAACGGACGAAGCAATGAAATAGAGGCAGAAATTTTTGCAGCGTTCCAACTTACCTACATAGCGCAAAGTAATTAGACAATTATCAAAGACTCCTAAGTTACTATTATTTCCAGTGTAGGAGCGCTGACTCTGTGCCTCAGATATATCACCTTTGAACCTCCAACTCTCACTACAGAGTCTCCCGAGTTGAGATTGACTAACACCTCTGTCCCCCCTATGATGAGGATTCCCAATCGCTTTCGCTATCCATATCGTCTTCATCTCTCACCACATGCCCATATTACCGTTATCATGAAGCTAACCACGATCAGATCAGATGGCAGGGTTAAAGCCCTTCGCGTCACCGGCACTTGATCAAGGAGGAATAGCCATCCGATGAGTTTCCAGAGCGTACCCAGCACTCGATACGGAGATGACAAACTGAATCAAGTTGATCTCGACTGTTACAAAGAAGGGAGATATAGATGAATATGCGCACCTCATGTGATCCTGGTGTCTAGACTGAGGTTGCAGGTTCTTGAGACTTTTTCCCGCGCACGCAATTTCCACTCCTACAAGTTTTTTTTGGGTAGAAGGTTCCGTGGAAAAGGTGGCCGAATTCCGCAGTAAAACACTAAGCTGAATGGCTAGTCATCACAGGCAATATATCAATGATCTTTCAAGTAACAAAAGAGGCAAGGAGTGCTCTGGGCCAGAGAGGAGCTAAATTTGCTAGATATTCTAAGCCTCAAGTAGTGTAATAAATACACCCATCTTTCTCACCTATTAATCTTGACTCATACTTCTAGTCAAAAGTCATCGATTATACACTTTTCCGGGTTGGATGGTGCAGTGGTACGCCATCCGGGCCGTTCTCCCCATTAGATACTGGGTAGCTTGAACACCTACCCCATTCGAGACAGGAGAAAGCTGGTTCGAATCCAGTCAGACCCACGCATCACTCTCTCTCGCGGTGATATTGTACTTGTGGGATGATGAAAGCACACTTGGATAGCCACAGGGTTTTCACGCTTTTCCCTGTGGTGGGTATGCACGGAAGAGGTTATACGCCGTAAGGGTTAATCTCGAGTGGTATCTGCAAATGAAATCTGAGTGTGAGTGTTCTAAACGTCAAATTGAGTCATCCTACTTAAAGTACATATCTTCCGATAAAAACCTGCATGGGCCTCAAGGCGCCAGATCAGGATAATGAATAATAATTATTATATTATTATTATACACTTTTCCATTATTCACTCTCCCCCATGATAAGTAAATTCCGCAAAAGAAATTTACTTCTAGCATCATGTCCGCATAAAATGAATCGTCTACCGACCCGAACGACCACCTTAACCCGAGCCTTCTTGGGATTGCTGCCGCAACGAGATAATCAGAACGCCATAGGGGGATTATTCTCAACACCTGTCAGTGGTGTCCCCTACGAACCTCCAGCTCTCACTGTAGAGTCTGCAGAGCTGAGATTGAGTAACACCTTATCAACGTTAAGCTGAGTTATCTCCCCCTCCGTCAAAGATACGCTTCCGATAACACATAAGACGACAAAGACGAGCATGATGATGCTGGGAATGAGGAAAGATAATGCGGTACCAAACGCTACAACGGTAGTCAGAGAAGCCCTCATTATATCACAACATGTGCTACCCACCGGCGGGCGAACAAAAAGCTCACGAAAGCAAAGTAAAAGACCCTTCCGCCCTCAAGAAAAGCAGATTTCGACTCGTCAACAATATCGTCCCTACTAATCTTATCTTCCGAATCTACTAGCCAGGAGGGCATCTGAAATACATGAGTTACTCGACAATCCCACGTCCGTAACGACTTTTGGATGCTAGGCTACGCTCCTTCACGATAGTCACTCTCGACCAAGACTTTTCTGATACCCTTTCACGACCTTTGGTTTGTCCTGCGGCATGAATCAAGGGAGGAGTAAGGAGGAGTACGGAGGAGGCCAGGAAGGTTGAGAGACGCTATTAGATATACACAGGTCTGCTGCGCCCGGCTGGCCGATCTCTTCGTCATGGGAGAGCTCCGCACCCAGTGGTTTTTGCGATTTTTCCCGGCATCCATACACCTGCAAATGGCCATCGTTTGGTTGGCTGGAGAGGGGAGATAATGAAGGGCAAAGGGCTCCTCTAAGTGTATGATCGAATGAGGACTTGTGAGGGGTGATACTGTTCGAGGGGAGCTGTATGGGAGGCATAGGAGGGGATATACTACTGGTATAGGTATCCTTGGCCTGTGGGCAGAGGGGACCTGCATGTCCTATATAGTCATAGACTCAGACAGGACAATAAAATGATTTAATAATAAATAAATAAATTACCATGGTACATGCTTTTGGTCACGTCATAGTATGTGCACGTGACTGTGGAACTAAACCGTGAAGTGCTTAGTGTGTAATGCACGTGTGGGCATTCGAATCCGAACGCTACCGATGAACCCGTATCACTTACGATGGATACACAACTGGAAACTGACCGACAAGTCGGCGACAATGCCTACTTTAAGGCGGAGGAAAAAGCTCAACCACAGGCCAGTAGGGGCTGCCTCATCCACTCGCATTACAAAGCGTAATAAACAATCTTCTCAAACAGTCATCGTGGAACCTCGGATGCCTGTTGAACTGAATCAAGTTCCCTCCGCCCCTCTAGACATGCACATAGATTCTGAGGATGAATTCATGGACCTCGAGGCAGAAGATGACGCGCTGCAAACTTTGTCTCAGCCGCCGACAAACAGCCATATTCCGTCCGTCCCTTTACAGCGGACTACGCCCAAAGTTCCGAAGATCCTGTCAACTCAGGATCAAGGCCTTGCTTCATCCATTTTTGCGGTAGCAACCCTCCCCCCTTCGAGCGGCCAAGCTGCCAGAAACATAAGGCAAGCGCCTGCCCCAGCCGCGGCTGTACAACGCTCTGTGGCCAACCCATCATAGGCCACCACTAAC